CTTTGGCTATTGTGTACTATAAAGGGCCATGAAACCCCCATTTCAGCAGGATGTTTTCACATCTCTAGTTTGGAAAAAGTCAGGAAAGTGGGTGTGTCTAGCTTTGTTTGGGTGGGAGTGTCGGGGGAGGAAAAATGGGCAGGGTTTGAATAAAAATGGGCAGGGTTTGAACAAAAATGGGAGTTGCCATTTGGCCACACACTTCTGACCGAGTACAAACAAACACACACGCAGGGGAGACAGTGTGTTTAATGACGATGGGATGTTTGATACCGCACCTCGTATAAGAGAAAAAAGCCTCTGCATTTCTCTGTAACTCCCACAACAGTTGTGTTTCCCACAACTTTTGGCAACACGACGTGTGTTGTCTCTCTGCCGTCTGAACACTGTTTCAGGTACAGTCTAAGAAAGCTAGCATGCATATTAATTAAGTTGCAGCGCATTCATAATGGAGCACACTGATTGGTTTGAACCAAGCCATACTCATGAATGTATGCAATGAACTCAGAGACGTAATATGGGACGCCTTGGTACAGACGTCCAGTCCACACGCTGAAACACACGCTATTATCTCATGGCCATGACGCAGCTTCAAAAATTGGTTTCAAACCGGAAGTACGAATTTGCTCGAAATAACGCAAAAACAACCAATTTTCACTTTTTAGTGAGATTTATGTGTCCTAATAGTGTTTTTAGCAGTGTGGGACACATATACGACTGTCAACAGCTCAAAAAATGTGTTTTCGTGTTTCGTGACCCTTTAAACATGCTTGTTGCTCCAAAACCATGTGATTGTCCACCAAGGACTAGAGATTTTTTACAAATATTTAATGGAAACTGTAGCATTCAAGCATGAAAAAAAAATACTTGGTACTAGTTTTTGACTAAACTTAAAGATACAAAAAACATCCCAGCAGGAACAGGATGTCAACATGACTGATAGTGTACCCCAATGTCGGAGATGTTGCATTTTGTTTGGAAATGAAAATCGGAGTGACATCAAAACCCAACGTCAGGCCGACGTCAATATCCAACGTCAGACAGATGATGTATTTTGGTTACTTTTCAATGCAACCTACAAACAACAAAATGTCAACATCTAATAATGTTACAGCTTTATGTTGTGTGGACGTTACGTTATATGACGGCATACCTGATGAATAAATGTCAATATTTGATGTCAATTTGACGTTAGTTAAAGCTGTTGGCTTGACATTGGATTTGGTCACTTTCCAACACAACCTAAACGCAACAAAATAACAACGTCATTTCACGCCATTATTGGACGTCAAAATAACTTTGTCGTTAGACGCTGGCAACCTAAATCTAACCCAATATTAACGTCTTATGCTGCATTCACACCAGACGTGGAAGAAGCGTCAAGCGCAAGTGATTTACATGTTAAGTCATTGCAAAGACGCGCATAGACATCCTGCGAATGAGGTGGCGTGAACGATGCGGTGCAAGTTGAGCATTTTGCAGCAGGCAAACAAAAGCCCTGCCCATGACGAGAATCCGCGTCTGATGCTCAGTGAATTTGACACACAGTTGAATCAAATTTTGGCACACAAATGAAGCGATTAAACTCAAAATGTTCACACCTCTATTTACGTGGGAATATCACGATTTATCCACGCGTGCCGCATCTGGTGTGAACACAGCATCATGATATTGTGTGTCTGCTGGGATGCTTTTTGACATATATTTACATCAGAACTTTACTGAAGAATGCTGTGCACTAAATGCGTTTATTCCATGGCTGTCTGGAGTACTTTATTCTGATTGGTCAGTCAAGACATTCCAAACTGTTATTCCCAGGTATCAACCACTGAAACTAATAATCTTGTCTGACAGTGAATATGTTTACGTCACTGTTTTGACTGGCGCCATCTTGTGACTAAAAAAATACATAGGTTAGTGTAAGCTCCATTCAACCTTTTTGTTTTTTGTCAGATTTGCCTCTAGTTTAAAAGTTTATAAATTATTATGGCTCAGAACAATGTTTGTGTGTAAGTTTTACATTCTGAGGCAAGTAACGGTGTAATAACTAGGATAAAGTACATCTAAGCGGTTATTTTTAGCAAATAAAGCACTTCTGTCTTATACAACAGTGCTCTGTGTCATATTGGCTGCTGATAAGCCTGTTGAGCTTTATTCTGTGATAACAGCCATTGTGCATGTATTATCTAGTAGTTGAAAACTTGTGAATAGACTATAAGCAGGGCTTGACATTAACACCCGTCAGCCTGCTAAATGCGGGTATATTACAGCTGTGGCGGGTTAGACAGACACTGCCACTAGCCACTTTGGCTGGTTAAAAAATACTTTTTAAATTGTAGGTTTTTTAATGCAGGAATCAACAATAAGGATGGCCCAATATTCGTGCAAATGCAATCTTACAAATGAGAAGCAGCATGACTGACAAAGATTATTGTGTTCACGCAAGCCAAAGAAAGCAGGTGAATACCGCATGAGAGGTTTACTTGCGTGAAGCAACCGTGCCTAGAGAAAACCCAACTGGTGGGATCGGCTTTCTTTTAGATAGACTGGACAAAAAGCGATAATCGTGTACCCATAGTCTAGCTGCTTTCAAGAGCTCAAGATTTTTTTAGTATATTCTTTTGTAAGCTGCTTTCGCTTTAATCATTCTTTGAAAAGATTATTAACATTATTAACATTAACCGTGTCGTCATCCTTTCATTATCACACACAGTGTTTTTTACCGGCTTTCTTTTGCTTGCAGTTATTTTTGTTAAAATGGTTTAATTATCATCCCTTACAATAACATTGCTATAATATGGGAATAACTCTCTGTTTATGTGTAGTTAACTGGTGATCTGGGACCTTTAGCCAGGACAGATTAGTGTGCATATTTTAGATACATGACAATAGTTTTTTTTAAATCTCAATTTTTTTTTTAAAGAAAAGTTTAAACAGCTGTAAAGAGTTTGCTTGTTTTGACACATTATTTAAAAATTGTGGCTAAGAAGTAATTATTTATTTATTTTTGGTGTGGAGATAAATTTGGCAAATCCTTAATTTTGAGCCCTGAAAAGTCATGTGAAATAAAAACTAATTGCAGTGTGACACAACCCATTTGCTCATGCACATTGAGCAAGCTGATCCACAACACACACAAAAAGTCAAATGACTGAGAAGGCATGTGGACATAACACAAAATCTAAATTTAGTAATTTTAGCATGTCAAAGTCAAATTTGTGCAAAATATATTTTCCCAACAGCAAAATTGTGGCTGGTGAAAATGGTAAGTTTCTAGTAATGATGGTTAACTACTAGCCACAGTGGCTGGTAATCAAAAAAGTTAATGTCAAGCCCTGATTATAAGATTTGTAAAGGAGTCAAAACAACTCTCTACTAGCTGGGATTCCAGCTAACTCTATCAAGCCTCTTCAACTGCTCCAGAATGCAGCAGCACGAGTGGTCTTCAATGAACCTAAACGAGCACATGTCACTCCGCTGCTAGTCCGTTTGCACTGGCTGCCAGTTGCTGCTCGCATCAAATTCAAAGCTCTGATGTTTGCCTACAAAGTGACTTCTGGCCTTGCTCCTTCTTATCTGCTCTCGCTTCTGCAGATCTATGTGCCCTCCAGAAACTTGCGTTCTGTGAATGAACGTCGCCTCGTGGTTCCATCCCAAAGAGGGAAGAAATCACTTTCGCGAACGCTCACGCTCAATCTGCCCAGTTGGTGGAATGAACTCCCTAACTGCATCAGAACAGCAGAGTCACTCGCTACTTTCAAGAAACGACTAAAAACTCAACTATTTAGTCTCCACTACACTTCCTAATCTGCAATTGCCTCTCTGAATATCACACTAACTGTACAAAAAAAAAAATACTAATACTTCCCTTCTTAGACTTTACAGACTTGAAACTTGCCTATAGCACTTATTCATTGTTGCTCTTGGTTGTGTAAATTGCTTCCTTGTCCTCATTTGTAAGTCGCTTTGGATAAAAGCGTCTGCTAAATGACTAAATGTAAATGTAAATGTAAATGTAAGTGCTATGAATTAATCTGTTACACACAAACAACTCAAGTATCTTCTGCAAGAAGACTCTTTTTTTGTAAACCTATAATCCAAACAGGTAAAGTCAGTAAGAGTATATTTGACATTTCTGCCCTTATTATGGTCATATCTTAAAATAATGTCCTGTTTTGGTTTATTTAGGTCAGGGGTGCCCAAACTCGGTCCTGGAGGGCCGGTGTTCTGCAAAGCTTAGTTTCAATCCCAATCAGACACACCCAAGCTAGCTAATCAAGCTCAGTAGGCTTTCTAGAAACATCCTTGCAGGTGCTTTGAGGCAAGTTGGAGCTAAAATCTGCAGGGCACTGGACCTCCAGGACAGAGTTTGGGCAACCTTGATTTAGATACATTTGGTCAAATTCATATTTCAATAAAACCAAGTTTCAGTCAAGCTCAGATGGCAGCATTTATGCTTATTTAAATGAACTGCTGCACTCACACTAGTTTGTTTCAGTCAAAACAAACCAGTCAAGTATAAAAACACCTATAAAGTATGATGAAAGTCATCAAGAATAAATGATGTAAGAATTGACAGACACAAAAGAATGTGATTAATGGAAAGGGAGAGAGAGCGAGCAGGTGCTTTTAACACGTAAAGCCAAGATGTTTTGCAAGAGAATGCCGAGATGACAGAAAAAAAAAAATTCTGAGTTCTGGCACCTGAAATTGTTGTGTAATTCAAAACTCTTTCCAAGGCTAAGCTGATGTGGTGTTAAGATAAAACGTTAACAGTTATGGCTCATTACCGTTTACTGCTAAAATAAAGGACATGTCTCTAAGACAGATAACTATGAGTGATGTGGCTGAACCAATGTTTTTGTTTGCACGGGAAAGGTTTCGTTTAAATTGCAGTAAGACTCTTGGCTGTCTCTTTTCCTTGTGTGCTGGAACAAGCAACTTGAGACTAAATGATTTCCATGACTGCCAATCACAGAACTAGCATATAAAGTGCTCACCAGCTCAACTACATCTGTTTGCTTGAAAGACAGACTCCAGATATGGAATTCCTGCACATGTGTGTAGCGTTCATCTCGTATAGCCATTAAGAGTGGCTGAAGGCTGGGCAGAAGAGTATCTGAAGGCTCCAGCTCTGGAACTGACAGCGTTATCTATAGGGATTGAAGATGGACAAAAACAAAGAATTATTAATGAAATATCCAGCCATTGATTAACAGGTACGTTTTTAATAAATATGTCAATGATCATGCGATTTTATTTGACCCCAACGCCCTTGCCCCAACCAAATAATAAAATCCTGAACAGAATATTTCACACGCAGAATGATAAGTCTGTCAAGGATTGTAACATCAATTTCATGACAGACAAACAATAAATAAATTCATTAATACAACTTTTAAACACAAAAGCTAAGGATGGGGAAATCCCATTGGTTCCCACACATCATGAGACCAAACATTGTAACATCTCCAACACAGCCTCATTCTGAAAACATAGCCCTATATACTTCTGAAATCGCGAATTACAGTATGTAGCCAGAGGAACATATGGCTGCATTTTGTCTTTACCAAACTGAATGTGAAATCCTCAGCTTTAAAATGTTGCACACTTCTTTTTGATTGCCACCTGTCTATTAGTCCCAGCGATGAAGTGTTATTTCTCCAAACAAAGCTAATCACTGAAAATTATACCAAATAAGTTCAAATGTTGTATTTCTTCAATGACAAAATAACATGCTGCAAATCAGGGACATGAGCTTATTCATTTTCATTGTTTTAAAGAATTTTTCATTCGTAAAACTTTAAATTTTATTCTAAAACATGAAAAATTAATCTATGACCTCAAACCTGGCTATGGGCCTGACCACTTGGTAGCTAGCTATTTTTTTCTTTTTTTTTTTTTTGATGATCACATTATATAACTAAACAACTTTACTGTTTAATTTGTTTTTGTTTCTTACAAAAAACAAACATAACTAAAAAACACCGGCTGGCCTTACTTCAAGTTTTATCCTTAAACATGGATTTTTTTTGCAGCGGTGTAGACATCAATGGGCCTGTGCACTTGGTAGCTAGCTAGTTTTTATTTAGACTATGATTAAGACGACATAACTAGAAAACTTGTTATCTTTCTTTTTTTTATTATGTTTCCTTTTAGGGCTGCACAATATAAAAAAAATTACTATATTTTATTGTAATATATAATATAAATTATATATTTAAAATAATAATAATAATAATTCCTTACATGTATATAGTGCTTTTCTAGACACTCACAGTGCTTTACACATTCATTTTTTTATGGAGATTCACAACCAATGTGCAGCATCCACAGCCATATTGACCAAATAATCACCACACACGAGCTGATTGGTGGAGATGAAGCCAATTATGATATGAGGATGGTTAGGAGGCCATGATGGACAGCGGGAAAATTTGGCTAGGATGCCAGGGTTAAACCCCTACTCTTTTTCAAAGGACATCCTAGGATTTTTAAGGACCACAGAGAGTCAGGACCTTGCTTTAATGTCTCATTTGAAAGATGGCGCTCAGTGAACAGTTTAGAGTCCCATCAATATACTGGCGTGTTAGGATCCACACCGACCACAGGTTGAGCAACCCTGCGAGGCTAAGAAAAATGCTTTTATTACCTTATTTTCTCTCATTTCCAGTCCAAATATAAAAAATTCTTAGAGCAAACAAAATATTGTTTTGTTTTCACCATCACAAGAAATTAGTCAAAATTTAAAGTGTTTCCTCTTAAAACAAGCTAAAGTATCTGTCAGTGGGGTAAGTGAAATACTCTTGTCTTCGCTTTAAAATGTAGATATTTGTACTAGAAACAAGAGAAAAATTTGAGGTGAGATTTTGTTTTGTATAAATCATAATAAATGTATAAATACAGTGATTAAATGCAATTCTGTAGCTCCTGCTTAACTATAATTCAGACTCAACATTGAACATTACAATGCGTTTTACAATGTGTTTTGACCCTGCCTTGTGTTATCGCTTTGATTTATTGCTGCCTGTACTGACCATTCGCCTGTTCTTCAAGCACAATTTGGGATTGCTCTGCATGTACCTGTTTGACCCTGTTGACCGTTGCATGTCTTTTCATTCTCCTAAAGAACCTGCATTTGGATACGCACTCCTTTGTCCAGCGTCCCCTCACATAACAGATATATTGTGTTGCCTACTTCCTTTGCAAGGAAGTGAAGCCTGATATCAGTGTACTGTAGCTGTCTAATGATATATCATAGTTGTCATATGGTTCCAGGTTGAACAATGTGTTCAAGTTCCTTGAATGCAGGGCCACCATGGAGTTCTTGAATGTGTGTTGCTTAAAAATGCTGTCCATCTTGGGATATGCCTGATGACTAAGTGCTGTTGAATGCACCTCTTTGCTGTGTTTCAGACTGATGGACACGCTCTGATGACCTGATAAGTCCCCCTCGGGACTTCATCTCAGTGAAGGTGTGTCCAAGCTCTTCTTGTGAAAATACGGCACTCCAGTGATTCTTCACAGCTGTTCTAACTATAAATCTAGCTACTAACAGAAATGGCTTGGGATGTATGTTTCTGTGTTCTCTTCTGTTTCAGGATGTGTGTTGTTTGCTTTGTCGAAATGGCAACACAGTATCAGGTGTTGCCTTTAGTACCACTGCTTTCGATGGCATGTCTTACTACTGTTCTCTTGAATTCTGACTTAAATTGCCCTACCTTTAGATTAAAGCTACATCCATTAGCTGAATGGCAGCTTAAAGTCAGCAAGGACTGTAACTAGGTGTTGGTGCTTCCACATACACTTACTGGACACTTTATTAGGTACACCAGTCCAACTGCTCGTTAACGCAAATTTTTAATCAGCCAATCACATGGCAGCAACTCAATGCATTTAGGCATCTAAACATGGGCTGCGTCCAAAACCACCTACTACTCAGTAGGTACTGCATTTGAATTTAAACATACTAATCGGCCGTAAAAAAAGTATGTTCTACACAGTATGAATGTGAGAAGAATGGAATTTGGACGTACTACATCTGGCATTTTGTCATGGTCACATGACCTACCTGCGTCAGTTGCGTCGCTTCACTCTTATTCATGAATTCTTTCTCAGGGCATAATGGGATAGCGCAGCGTGCATGGGATGGGCACTTCAGAATCTCGCCGGAAGTAGTCATCTGGGTACTTCTCGCATACTGATTTTCGAATTCAATGAATTCAGACATGCTGCTCGGCTCGCATACTGATTTTATCGAACTATATAATATGGAAGCATGCGTTTTGGTTGCAACCATAGTCAAGATGATCTGCTGCAGTACAAACTGAGCATCAGAATGGGCAAGAAAGATCATTTACGTGACTTTGATTGAGACGTGGTTGTTGGTGCCAGATGGACTATTCTGAGTATTTCAGAAGCTGCTGATCTACTGGGATTTTCACGCACAACCATCTCCAGCTTTTACAGAGAATGGTCAGAAAAAGAGAAAATATCCAGTGGGGGAAGTTATGTTGACACAAATGCCTTGTTGATGCCAAAGGTCAGAGGAGAATGGTCAGACTGGTTCTAGCTGATAGAAAGGAAACAGTAACTCAAACTAAACTAACTCAAACTTAAGTAGAAGATGGGAAAAATAATGCCTGGTGTGTTAAGTCTTGATTTCTGCTGCGACATTCGGATTGTAGGGTCAGAATTTGGCATCAACAACATGAAAGCATGAATCCATCCTGCCTTGAATGGTTCAGGCAGTTGGTGGTGTAATGGTGTGGGGGATGTTTTCTTGGCACACTTTGGGCCCATTAGCACCAATTTAGCTTTGAGTCAATGCTACAACCTAAGTATTGATGCTGACCATGTCCATCCCTTTATGACCAAAGAGTACACTGTAAAATTAGTTATTTTATTTTTTTCTGGCAGGAAAAATAGCAAAATAACGGCTGTTAAGTTACAGACATTTACTGTAAAATAACAGATAGCAAATTACAGAAATTTACTGGAAATTTAAATTTAAGAAAATTTCTGTAATTTAAAGTCTGTTATTTTATGGTAAATGTCTGTAATTTAACGGCCATTATTTTACTTTTTTTCCAGCACCCTATATAGCTGCCAACAATATACAATAATAGATTTTTTTTTCTGATGGTTACTTCCACCAGGATAATCTGCCATGTAAAAAAGTGCCAATAATCTCAGACTGGTTTCTTGAACATGACAATACGTTTTCTTGCCTGTTGCCATAAGGCATCCATTAATCCCTCCTTCAGTTATGGACTTTTGAATCTCTTAGAAATAGGATTTCTGGAGTTCATCAAATGAAAATTTCAGTCAAAAATTTCCAAGAATTTGCAAACTGGGGGAGCTGCGGGTGTTTCCCACATGAGAGATATGCCACACTCAAGCTTATGGTCGACACAGCAGGGTTTACCTAAGGTTTTAACCTGCCTATATGCTGCGCTTTATCTTTTTGCAAACTGTTTTTTTTCAGAGGTTGACACTATTTGTCTTTATATGGAATAGTATGTTTAAAACAATCAAACATTTCATTCCTTATTCTCATGGAAACTGGAAAACAATGAATCTTTTGCAATAAAATAATGCTGTCTTTATGTTAGGCCAACTAGCTTGTCAAATTAGGAAAACTATCAATTTAATTTAATTAGCAAAAATATAATAATAAAAAGATAACACTATACATATTCCAATATTTTCAACATTTTTTAAATTCACTTTTCATTTAGAAATGTATAATGTTTAAAACTATTATATAATGCTTTCATTAACAAGCTTAAGCTATTATTATTTTAATGACGTGATTTAGGATTGTGCAAAAGAAAAATAAGCAGGGGAAATCGCTTTTGGCTTCTTGCTATTTTTTTTCTCTTTGTTTTGGTTTTCTGTTCACAATAGAAAGAAAAGTCGGTCTGGAACGTCATGTCAAACTAATTAATTTATAACAAACATTTATTTTTGGGGGTGAACTATGAAGGTAAATCCGTTGCGAAACTCGAGAGCTTGCAAATGTAAATGTGAGCACTTGTGATAATAATATTTGTATGTGTAGGTTGAAATGTACACTTACAGCTCTGATGTGAACAGCTGAAATCCTCGATTTGCACACACACACAACAACCCACACACTTGTGTTTTAAATTGGAAGTTGCAGATTAATAGTTGTGTATTTGTAAAATGTCATTCACAAATACAAAGTGACAGACACACGTGTGCAAGGCAAATTTGATTGCATCTTTGCTCTACAACCACAGGTCGGCACTCACAACCTCTCAGATTGGTCAGTACAACTACAAATCTCCCGCGCTCTGACTTTTGCAACACATCTCCCGCGATCTCTGTAGCAGAACTCATCTGTGCACTGGCAGATGCAGAGGCGTGAGCAGCGCGGGGCGGGGGAGGGGCGGGGCAGGTGTAAAGCTGTTTGATTGGCTGAAGCCTGACCAATGAACAATGCCAGCAGCCAACAGGACTGAGGTGCAAAATAATAATTTCCCACGATTATTTCATTAGTTAGGGTTTATTTAAACTCTTTTCTGAAGAGATTCTTGTTAAAAATCATAAATTCTACTGTAATGTACATACCAGTAAAAGAGCAGCAAAGCCAGTTTATTGGCTACAGCCAGCCAATGAGATGGGGCGTTTCTGTTTGTCAGCACACAGGGCAGCTCACGTTGTTGGAGGCCTCGAGCAATCAGAGGGTAAGTTAAGATTTTTTAATAATTATCTATATGTTCAATACTGTTAGCTAAGCTAAGGACTGTGCTGGGTGCTTCTCTTGTTTGTTTCTTATATAAGAAAACAGTTATGAGTTATCTAGGAGCTGCTTTCAATCATGTTATATGGTTCTAAAGATACGATTCAACCCACATGAAATAAGAAGTTGTAATAGCATTTATAGTAAACAATATTACGTTTTTGAACCATACTAACTATAATAAACTGTATTATACTGTATATTTTGCAGTATCTACAACTTTGTTAATGAATGCAACAGCACACTGTAGTATTAACTAGCATGAACTTTAATGAATTGAAGTATATTTACACACACGCACACATTAATAGCAATTAAAAATAACACTAGGCGTTTCAGTTTCTTACAGATCATACCGGTTTTTGTTATTATAACCTGCATCATATCTATCTATCCATCTATCTGTTTACATGTTTGTGTACAGTGTGTCCTTTATGTCACTTTTTTAATTATGAAAGTTACTACCTTTATTTCTCAGTTTCCTGTAAGGATGGAGTGACAGGAGAGATCAGGATGTTTCAAGTCGATGAGGAACTCAGAGAAGCTGCATAGCTTGAAAAGGATGTTATTTATGCTAAAGATGACATGATGATCCAGCTCATCTACAAACACTTCAAAATAATTCAGATCATTCAAGAGGAAGCCGACCATTTATTTTCTCTTTTTACCTGCCAAGATGACTACAGATTTGAACAAAACACACACTCACCCACACACAACTTTTATTTTGATAATTGTTTAATGTAGTATTTTTACACTTTACTGTAAGGCAGGGGTGTCAAACTCAGTTCCTGAAGGGCCGTAACCCTGCACGTTTTTAGTTGCAACCCTGCTTCAAAACACTTAAGTGAAAGTTTCAAACAAACCTGAAGGACTCAATTAGTTTGATCAGGTGTGTTTAATTAGGGTTAGAACTAAACTTTGCAAAGCTGCAGCCCTCCAGGAACTGAGTTTGACACCTGTGCTGTAAGGGAATGTAATTTGTCAAATAAAATTTACAGTCCAAATAAGTGTAGCGCAAATGTCTAGTTACTTGTATTGAAATATTTAAGGGTTTTTCCTTGTTCGTAATGAGATGGAGGTGGTAAATCCAACTTCATCATTACCCATCAAATGTTATCTCCTCTTTAATCCTTTGCTCAAGCCTATACTAATGGTCAGAAAGCAAGCCATTGTGTAAAGCTGGTTGATGCTCGCTGTAATAGAGAGAGATGATGACTGTTCAGCTTATGTTGCTTAACCCTGCAGATGAGATGCTCAAAGTGGACCCTCTGCCGAGCGATGGACACTGTCTCCCTCACCTAGTTGCTCTTCCTTTGAACACACATATCATGTTGAAGGATGCAAGTTGTGGACCTAAATCAGATGTAATGCATGTAGATGTATAAATTAGAAAGAAATGAAACTGCTTTAAAATGTATTAGGTTTTACATATAAAGTATACTTCAATTCATTAAAGTTCATGCTAGTTAATACTACAGTGTGCTGTTGCATTCATTAACAAAGTTGTAGATACTGCAAAATATACAGTATAATACAGTTTATTATAGTTAGTATGGTTCAAAAACGTAATATTGTTTACTATAAATGCTATTACAACTTCTTATTTCATGTGGGTTGAATCGTATCTTTAGAACCATATAACATGATAGAAAGCAACTCCTACATAACTCATAACTGTTTTCTTATATAAGAAACAAACAAGAGAAGCACCCAACACAGTCCTTAGCTTAGCTAACAGTATTGAACATATAGATAATTATTAAAAAATCATAACTTACCCTCTGATTGCTCGAGGCCTCCAACAACGTGAGCTGCCCTGTGTGCTGACAAACAGAAACACCCCATCTCATTGGCTGGCTGTAGCCAATAAACTGGCTTTGCTGCTCTTTTACTGGTATGTACATTACAGTAGAATTTATGATTTTTAACAAGAATCTCTTCAGAAAAGAGTTTAAATAAACCCTAACTAATGAAATAATCGTGGGAAATTATTATTTTGCACCTCAGTCCTGTTGGCTGCTGGCATTGTTCATTGGTCAGGCTTCAGCCAATCAAACAGCTTTACACCTGCCCCGCCCCTCCCCCGCCCCGCGCTGCTCACGCCTCTGCATCTGCCAGTGCACAGATGAGTTCTGCTACAGAGATCGCGGGAGATGTGTTGCAAAAGTCAGAGCGCGGGAGATTTGTAGTTGTACTGACCAATCTGAGAGGTTGTGAGTGCCGACCTGTGGTTGTAGAGCAAAGATGCAATCAAATTTGCCTTGCACACGTGTGTCTGTCACTTTGTATTTGTGAATGACATTTTACAAATACACAACTATTAATCTGCAACTTCCAATTTAAAACACAAGTGTGTGGGTTGTTGTGTGTGTGTGCAAATCGAGGATTTCAGCTGTTCACATCAGAGCTGTAAGTGTACATTTCAACCTACACATACAAATATTATTATCACAAGTGCTCACATTTACATTTGCAAGCTCTCGAGTTTCGCAACGGATTTACCTTCATAGTGAACTAACGTTACTCCATATTTATTCGTGCAGCTTTCTACAGCTTATTGAACTGATTAGCAAGCTTAATCGTTTTGAAAATAACCGTTCAGTTTCCATCTTGTTTTTTTATGATCAGTTTCACTGTGTAAAGTACCTTCCTGAGAGGTTGCTGTGTGTCGATATGGTGAAGGATGTCCAGTTTGAGCTCCGCACTGGGGCTGCTGTTGGTCTGCAGGCAGTGATGCTCGTATCTCCCCAAGAGCGCGCTGAGTTGCTGCGCCGCTTCACTCGACGCTCCTCCACCAGCAGACTGAGCCTTTCGCATTGTGAGACTTATTAAAAACGAGAGAGTTAATAAATTTATTCATTAAAACACTATGTTAGATTGACTCCTGACGAACTAAAAGCATGTAAAGTTATACATGCTTGTTGACAACTTTGTTAGCGACTCTCCACTGTTACTGTAGCAACAGCAAAATGTCAACAACACTTGTCAATTTAGATCCTCCCTCGCGCCAATTGAAGTTGCTCATGAAATACAAAAAGAAAGAGAAGAACATGTCAGGCGAATCAGTGGTTAGCACTGTCGTCTCATAGCAAGAAATTCGCCAGTTCGAGTGCCGGCTGTGTCAGTTGGCATTTCTGTGTGGAGTTTGCATGTTCGTGTCGGTTTCCTCCGGCTGCTCCGGTTTACCCCCACAGTCCAAACGTAAAGACATGTAATGTTAGTGTAGGTGAATTTATTTACCGTAGTGTATGAATGTGTGTGAATTAGTGTGTATGGATGTTTGCTAGTGATGGATTACAGCTGGTAGGGCATCCTCTGCATAAAATAAGCTGGATAAGTTGTTCATTCCGCTGTGGTGACCCCTAATAAATAAGGGGACTAAACTGAAAGAAAATGAATAAATAAATGAAAGAACATGTAAAGTCCCTGAGTTTGTGAAAGCCAAACAGCACATAATACTGATTCAAAGAACAATAAAGAAAGAAAGAGATTAATGCAAATAATTAAACAAACAAAAACGCATAAAAAAATTTTGATGAATAAATAAATTAAATGAAAAAGAAATCAAATGAAATCGATATAAACTCAACCCCCAAAATATCCAGAAATAAATGTTATTAAAGGGATAAAAATGCAAATAAATGAAAATTTTATAAAAAATTTATTTAGAAATTTAAATTCTATGATGTTTAATTCATTATTAAGCCTCACAAACCTGCTTGAGTACATTGTTATCATTGTACTTTTGTTCTGCTGAACACAAAAGAAGATATCTTAAAGAATGTTGAAAACCTGTATTGCACAGACTTCCATAATAGCAATTGGACATCAATGGTAGGTTTTTACCATGCTTCAAATGATATATATATATATATACCCTGCTGAAAAATCCAGCTTAAACCAGCCTAAACTGGTTGGCTGGTTTTAGCTGGTTGACCAGCCTGGTTTTAGAGGTGTTTTGGCCATTTCCAGGCTGGTTTCCAGCCATTTCCAGCCTGGTCTTAGCTGGTCAGGCTGGAAAATGACCAGCCAAATCCAGCTAAAACCGGCTTGACCAGCCTGGTTTAAGTTGGATATAGCTGGTTTTGGCTGGACTCCCAGCTTGGCTAGGGTGATCAAGCTGGTCTTAGCTGGTCATCTCCCAGCCTGACCAGCTAAGACCAGGCTGGAAATGGCTGGAAACCAGCCTGGAAGTGGCCAAAACCCCTCTAAAACCAGCCTAGTCGACCAGCTAAAACCAGCCAACCAGCCTAGGTTTTAGTATATATAGTATAATATATATATATTGAATAAATGAAATAATTTACACTGAATGTGGGCACTGCTCTGTGTATTACATTCGATCAGAACTAATGATTGTTCAGTGTAAACTTTTAATTTTGTCATGAATTTTCTTTGGGTTGATCATAGCCTTTTCTGTGAAACTTTGAAAGAGATTACCCTACACATCATAGGGTTAGTCACTTGGGAGTCAGGATACTACAAAACAACCAAAAAAAATCATCAATGACATTATTCTGTGTTAAGATTTATAAATAAGGCCTGTTTTTTCTATATATTTTGATTTTGATTTAATTAAATTCAGTATATTGTTAAGACAGACTTTAAAACATTATCTGTCTCGCATTTTTGAGCTTGGTCAGCAAAAATGGGCCAGTCAAACTTATTCATTCATTCATTCATTCATTTTCTTTCTCTTTTTTTGGAGCCGGATAGCGAGGGCAGCGGCCTCAGGAGAGAACCCCAAGATTCTCTCTCCCTAGACACTTCTCTTCCAGGGGTTATTCCAAGACATTCCTAGGCCAGCCAAGAGACATAGTCAACCCAGACTCATTCGGATTATGTACTGCTATATATATTTCTGGAGAGCGCCAAATGGGTCCCAGGAGGTACGTTCTTTGAAGTTTCTGTTTTTGCGAATCTACCAGAGGCTGCTGTCTACACTTTTTCAGATCTGATATTTCTCTTGCGAGTGCCATTAGTGCCTGCTATTCTCACATAAATCCACCAGAGGCTGCTGTCGATTGAATGACTGACTGATCGACTGACCCACCCTCCTCCTTCCCTAAACCCAACTAATAGTGTTTTCAAAAGCACTGATTGACCTGACCACCCACAACAGAAATATTTTTAGGGGACCCAAAAACATGACGGACCCTGCTGAGAAATGGATGTGTTGTTATGTCGTGTAGTCAGGATATTAAAATAAACGAAAAACAGCTCACCTTTCAAAGACCACCAATCACTTCACTGAGCAACCGTCACGGCATAATAACACATATCTCAGCAGGGGTCTCCTCTGGCCAAACTTCTTGTGCAGAGCTACAGTCTTGGCGCTGGAGGCTGGAGAACGCTAGATGTCCATCATGGAGATGCTGCAGGTGTGAGTAGGTCATCGGTGGGTGTTCAGGCTGGCCCACGAGATTAATACGAAGACTTGCCTACACTGAGTCTTTCAAAGGAATTAGTCTCATAGTCACCGCTCCTCCATGACTGCCACAGCATCTGCTCAGGATACGACCTGGTCCAGGATTATGGATACCTTAGCACAGTGGTTCTCAAAGTGGGGGTCGGGACCCCCTGGGGGGTCGCGGGACAATGACAAGGGGTCGCTTGGTGATATCCAAAACTCAAATAAATTTTATTAAACTATTAGAATTACCATATTTTATTCATAACCGACAGAATATAGTTAATAGTTGCATTAAAGTAACAGCAACATAAAAATAACAATCAGTCATCAGCCTTTAATTTCAAAAGCAAAATGTAATTAAATCCATAAATTACTTTAAAAAACATTATATGGCTAATAGACTATTGCATTTTTGTGTTGTCAATAAGCTCATGTTTATATTTGCCTATAGTTGTGTCTGCAACGTTTACATATTTACAGTACAACCACCTTGAAAAATAGGGGGTCGCGAGCCAGTGATATGATTATTTTTGGGGTCGCGGCCTGAAAAGTTTGGGAACCCCTGCCTTAGCATGATCTTTTCTTCTTCCATTGTATTATAATTACTAACTGTACTGTCTATCCCTGGTGAATGTTACGTGATGTGGTGATTTTGCACAGGAGGCTTTTGATTGTGATTTGCAGGGTGGGAAGAACAGTAGGTTTTCAGTGCTATCAGGTAACATTAACATTTTTCTATTGCACCTTTAAATATTATGCTTATTCGCTCACTGTTAAGGTAAAAGGGTCTTCAACATCCAGTGCATAGCAGAGGTCAGGCTCTTCTTCTGGCACTGGCTCCAACATGGCCTCTTTAAACATTGCCTCTTTTGCAAACTGATGATCATTCTGGAAGATGTACAGTGGTTCCTCGGGTCGATTAGTCAGCCTGATCTCATGAGGAAATGTAACTATTTTATGTGTTGTCAGTTTAGTTGTTGAAAATTTGTCAGTTTGTGTTGAAAATGTACGATTTAAAAGGGAGGCCTGGCACCCAACCCCACCCCAAAAGGCTGATTTACACTTCTGGGTCAAACGCACGCGTATGCTATGGCGCAGCCTACGCGTCAACGCATAGCCCTACGCCATGGCTGTCGGCGTCGCTGACGTGCACCTCTCAAAAAATTTAACTATACGTCGCAACGACGCATACCACAAGCTTTGTGATTGTTTGGCTTGACAGCGCTGACGAGTCTGGGTGGGACCGAGAGCCGAGCCGAGAGTCCCATGAAGGAGAAGTTTTGTTTAGTGTTTACCTCATAGTTAAAGTTGTTGCACGTCTGCCAGTTCCTGCCACAAAATGAGCGAGTTTGAGCCACTTTTACATCCCGGAAGCGTTCAGAAAGAACAAAACACAGGCAAAGAAACTCGACACAGAGACTCATCAACACCTCACTGCCAACTAGCGTTTTGAAAGTATTAACGCAGACCAACAGAGACAGCGTACAGAAGTATAAATGCACGGCTACGCGCATTGCATGCGCCGTTGGTTATGCCGGTCACTTAACGCAGAAGTATAAACCAGGCTTAAGCCTAACCGTCATTGAGGAATGAGCAAATCATACTAAATTGCAGAAATAAGATCGTATGAATTCTTATGAACTAGCCACCACATCAAAAAGTTACGAATTGCCATGAGATTGTGTTGGATCAGTGGGTGTTAGCACTGCAGGCAGGTATGAGGTATAGCAGGTCTTCTAGAAAGAGACTGAGATATGGTGGGTGAGTCATTATGTGTGAGTGGCAGGGCAAGTTTAGGTCAAAAACACTCTCTGGTAGTATCTTTTTATTAGAGGGAACATCTCTGTCCCTCTGAAACCTGTAAGTAGTGGCTTCCTTTTCCCAAGCTTGGCAGAAAACAGAAAAACTCTGCTTTTGGGAGCCCCTGGACTGTCATTAGTCTGGTCCACTTCCTCTCCTCTTTAACCCAGTGATCTTTCAGACTTTTAAAGAATGATTTATCTGCAGAGCATGCTGGGGTGCGGAGGGTAGCACATGATGTTGACATTCCTGCTCTTCATAAGGCTCAGGAATTTGATATTATAAACATGACTGCTGTGCCCATCTTAAAGGAGAAGATTGAATCTGGGATCCTCTTTAGGGCATGTATGCTGGAACATCTGAGCCATTCCAAAAAAAAAAAAAAAAAAAAAAGGTCAGAATTATCTATTCATTCGTAGATGCCATTACAGATATAATGTTTGAAAAATGATGTTTTGAAAATGACAGAGGCATATGTGTCCTTTTTCACAATGGTGATGATTGCCTAGCTTGTCAGATAACTTATATTAAAGAAAACAGATCTTAAAAACAGGGCATCATGGTGGCGCAGTAGTGCTGTCGCCTCACAGCCAGAAGGTCGCTGGTTGGCTCAGTTGGCAGTTCTGTTTGGAGTTTGCATGTTCTCCCCGTGTTCGCGTGGGTTTCCGCCAGGTGCTCCGGTTTCCCGCACAGCCCAAAGACATATGGTACAGGTGAATTGGGTAAGCTAAATTGACCGTAGTGTTTGTGCGTGAATGAGTGTGTATGGATGTATCCCAGTGATGGGTTGCAGCTGGAAGAGAATCTGCTGCATACAACTTATGCTGGATAAGTTGGTGGTTTATTCCGCTGTGGCAACCCTTGATTAATAAAGGGACTAAGCCCCAAAAAATGAATGAATGATCTCGGAAACCTTCCTCACTTTCCTTCCTTCTGCTTAGTTCCTGA